ACCCACTCCAGTATTCTTGACTGGGAAATCCCACGGGCAGAGAAATCCGATAGGCTACAGTCCATGGGATCAAAAAAGAGCTGGACTCGACTTAGTGACTGTACAACAACAAATTTCTACGAAATAAACTTAACCATTTTGAGCCTACAATTTGCTATCTGACAAATGGATACACTTATCTAACCACTAAAATCATGCCATAAAACGTCTCCCTTGCCCCCCAAATTTCCCTCATGCGCCCAGTCACTCTCCTTCCCCCACCTCCAGTGTGAGGCAAGCACAGATTTGCTCTCAGTCACTATAGTCATGTCTTTCTTGGGATATCATACAAACAGACTCATTCAGTGTATCTGACTATTGCATTTAGCATAATGCTTTTGAAAATCATCAATATTCTTCCACCTGTCAATAGTTTATTCCTTATTGTCAAGTAGTATTTCATTGTATGGATACACTACATTTATCCATTTACCAGTTGACAGAAATCTAGGCAGTTTCTAGCTTGTAGCTATTACAAATAACGTTATTATGAACACTTAACATAAAAGTCATTGTGTGAACATATGTCTTAATTTCTCTTGGGTAAATACCCAGGAGTAGAAGAGCCATGTGATATGGTATACTGTATATTTAATTTTATAAGGAACTGCACAGCTATTTCCCAAAAGGCTGAATTGTTTCCTTTCCTGCACTTTCATTAGTGGAGTCTGAGAATTCTGTAGGTTTTTAGATAAGAAGTTTGTGGCATCTTTTTCATACAGTACTTTAAAATTGTGACATAATTTGATATATCAATTATTTTCTTTATGGTTGGTGTTTTGGGGGATTTACAAAATCCTTCATCACTTGCTTATTCATATTGTGATTCTATTTGTAATTTCTCTTGCGAGGATTATCAGATTTTTTTTTTCTTCAGAAAGGCCTTTTTTGATATTTTCCCATAGCAGTTTGTAGGCAATGTACACTTAACTATGATCGATAATACAGTGTGTGTTGCCATTACAGAATAATGTGACACGAGATTGAGGCTAAGAGCTCAAAGTGCTCAATTTAGAAATGTACATTTCATGGAACTGAAATTCTCTGAAGAATTCTGCTTTCTCAATTCAGCTCAGAATGGAGTTCAAGAGTGCTTTACAACACAGATCAGCATATTTTTTTTGATCAAGGACTAAATAGTACGTATTTTAGCCTATGCACACCATACCATCTGTGTTCCAAGTACTCAACACTGTTGTTGGGAGTGCAAAGGCCATTGCTGACAATGCAGAAATGGATGACTGTGGCTGTGTGCCAATAAAACTTTATTTACGGACACTGAAATTAGAACTTCATACAATTGTTGTGTGAAACAAAAATCATATTCTTTTTTTTCAATCATTAAAAGATATAAAAACAAAATTTGGCTTGTGTGCCATAGAAAAACAGGCAGAGGCAGAGTTGGCCAACCCTGGCTTTAGAACCCATCTTTCTGACATCACCATGAAGCAAGTGGCTAACATCACCCTCACCACTTCATGCAGTACAGTGTGAGAACCTGAGACCTCATCCAGATTAGTTTCCCTCTCGTCCTAGGTTTTGGTGCCTGACTTCAGGCCATACAGCTTGTGAGTGACAGTGTCAGGCTGGAGCTTGGGTGTCTTGATTTAAGTCCTACCTACCTTCCCCCACTTGGTTCCAAAAATCAAAATTTAAGATTTCATCCACAGCCACAAAATCCTTCTGCCATTTCTCATCAGCAGTTCATCATATTTTTTTTTCACTTTAAAGGAATTTATTCCAATAAATATCTTAAAATTAAGGATTCAGTAAGCTCAAGTTATACAGAGAATTAAAGTTAAATACAAAATACCATTAAGGCATCTACATTCCAAAAGGCCTATGAAGATCTCCAGAGCAAATTTTATTCCAGAATTTTGAGGACAAAAAGGAAAGGCAATTCTGTTGTGAGTAGCAGAGGAAACAGATTAGATGAGTCTGCAGATTAGATGAGGCCAGTGTGGTGGACGGGATGAGGGGACTGCAGGCCAGGGAGCAGGGCTCTCTCTGCAGTAAGGATTCAAACTCTGAGAAGGCGGAGCCCTTGTTTCCTGTTGATGGCTCTGTCGCCTTCAGACCAGAGCCTGGGACATAGTGGCACTCGATAAATGATGGTTGAAGGATCAAAATCAGTCTATAAGGGGTGATTCCTGGGAAGCAGTCTCTGAATTTTTAGGTTATCTATTCCAGCAGCTTTTGGACCACTCTGAAAAAACTTGAAATGATTTCCCACCTCCCAAAGGCCCCATCAGAAGGTGGGCACCTTCATCCCTTGGATAGCTATCTTCTCATCTAAGCCTGTCACACAGATTTGGAGTTCTCACACATTCCAGATATAATGAATGCATTTAAAGTATTGCCTTCTAGACGTTAAACAATTGAAAATTCAACAAGGGCAACCAATATTTATGAATGAGTCGGAAGTGTTTAAAATGCAGACATTTATAAAAAGTCTGAGGAGTAAGAAATTCCCAGAACAATTTATTACCTACACATTGCAATTTTGTTCGGAAGTTCTAATTCTCAGCAGACATTAATCAAGCCACCCCACTCTCTTTTAGGTTACTTTCCCCATTTCACAGATAGCAATTCGGCGGAAGTTAGATGACTTGTTGGCAAGGTCACACAGAGAATATAAATCTAAATAATACACGGTTTCAGTTCTCTCTCCTGCCATTTGTCAGATTGAAACCGAGGGAGGTTTCCTGAGGATTTCAACCGGCTTCCCTGGTGACGGACTGCATATTTGCTGCTCTCTGCTGCCCTCTGTTGATAGGAGAAGGCAAGAGTGGATCTCAAGACCACTATTTTCTCCAAGTTAGGTCTGGGAGCAGCTGTACTGCTAAGAACTGTTAAGAAACAGAAGTTATGGGGCCTGGACCCATAATTTTGGGGGTTTGGCTCAGTAGCCTATGTTTAATAAACCTACAAGTGATTCTGCTGCAACTTGATATTACTTTTCTGCTTCAGGTATGAATGTCCTGGCCTCCTAGTTATCATAAAAATGGCAAAGCCCCTTCACACTGCTTCCCACATGTAGTATCCATACCATTATGCCATATACGCAAGTGCTTTTCATGTCCATTCATTCTTTCAGAGTGGCCTGCAGGACCCTGTGAAGTGAAGTTCCCTGGTGGCTCAGATGATAATCCTCCTGCAAAGTGGGAGACCTGGGTTCAATCCCTGGGTTGGGAAGATCCCCTGGAGAAGGGCATGGCAACCCACTCCAGCAGTCTTGCCTGGAGAATTCCTACGGACAGAGGAGCCTGGCAGGCTACAGTCACAAAGAGTCCAAAACGACTGAGCAACTAAGCATAGGAAGCACAGCACACCAACTCCTTAAGAAAGTCTTACCTATTCTTAAGAAAATTAATAGCAATTCTGTGATATCATTTGGTATCCGGAGTGTACTCAAATTTCCCTCAGTTGCCCCAAAGAATGTCTTTCATGGCTGTTTTTTTTTTTATATATATTAGGATGCAATCTAGGTTACTAAACTGCTTTTGGTTACTGTGTCTCTATATTCTTTTAACCTAGAATATAGGTCCACAAACTATGGCCCATAGGCCAAATCTGGCCCGCCACCTGCTCTTGTCAATATGCTCAGGCTGGAACAAAGCCATGCCCTTTCATTTATGTCTATGACGGCATTTCTGCTACAGAATTGGAGTCGAGTAGCTGCAACAGACACCATATGGCCCATGAAGCCCAAAATAGTTACTACTTGGCCCTTTACAGAAAATGATTGCTAATCTGTGACCAAAACTATCCTCTCCCCTTTATTTTTATTATAATACTGACTATTCAAACAAAGACTCCAGAACAACTGTTTGTATAAACTCTTCTTTGAGATTGGTGTAATTATATATATATACAAAATTAGTCAAAATTTCATATATTGTATTAATACACTTAAAAAATACTCAGAAATTATCAGCATTCCATGGGGCAAAGTTAAACAACTTTTTATGTGTTAAAAGTGTACAAGAAATTGAAAGGCACACAAAAATTAGAAAAATATTTCCAAGATCTGGTCTCTTCTCATATTTTATTTTTCAGGAAGGAGAAAAAGAATCAAGACTGACACATGGTGATTTCAGTTACAAATGAAAGTAAAATCCTTACTGATTAAGTTTCTGTGTCATTTGAATAGAGAAATGGGTAGGAAAACCAGAAAGACTTCCTTCTTTGGGAAATCATAATATATCATTTCAACTATGAGTGCCAGAGTCTACAGAAATTCAGGTATGTCCACAAGATTGTCAACACAAGTACAGGGCTATGTACCTGGCAACATGCCTGGTATACAGAAAGTGCTACATAAATGTCCATGGGAAAAATGAATGAATGAGTACTGATCCTTTACACATTTGGACTGGGCAGGCAGTCATGATAATATTCACACATTTATTAGCCTAGTATTTTTTTTAGTATAGCAAGCATGCACAGCTTACTAAAAGCTGACCTGTTAGTGTTCTGTTGGGAGCTCATGCATGTTCATTGACACAGGATTCAGGGAGCTTGGATCATGACCTTCAGAATAGGAATTCACTGGTTTTATGTATACGATTATATGGAAAGCTAGAACATGTCCAGCCTCTCTTTCCAATTAACTTAGGTCAGACTCTAATGAATAGTACCTTCTCCTGCTACTCTGAATACAGCGTATCTATCCTACTGATTACCTAAGACATTGTAAGTGAAACATAAATCATCATGAAAGGAAGCTCTATTAATTGGTTTTATCAGTTATATAACATGGAAAAGAATTAAACTACATGCAACCTCAGCCATGTCCCTAAAATGTCATTTAACCTATAAAAAATTTAAAAAATTGAACCTCCCTGACCCACAATCTATATTTTACATTAATCTTTTTAAAAAGTTATCATCATCCACTCTAGCAAGCTGACATAAATGGTGCTGAGGATGAGCTGTTGGTCAGAAGTAAGGCTGAAGATTTAAAGAATTCCTGGTTGGTTCTTGAGCAGTGGATCTTTTTCCTGGTTTCCGGGGAAGAACAGGGTCTTTGCATGATTGAGGAAAACATTCAGGCCTTTGCCTCTGATCTCGATCCCAGGGCTGTTTTCTATTAGTTTGTATTCCTTGTGTTTTCTGAAAGCAATGTGTTGGACAGATTAAAAAGAGCTCTCCAGCTGGAAAAGGTTGCTTTTTCTATAAGTCTTTCACAAGTCAAGTGCAGAATCGTTCATTCCATTTAACTTATGGCTTTTAAGACAGTGTTGTCTTATGAAAATACATTTTCTCTTCTTCATGCAAGAAATGTGCCTGCTTACTATAACTTGAGATTATATGTTAAGCATTAAACTGACAATTTGGTAAAGTTATTGACATTTGGTAGCATTTTTAGGGATTAAAAAAAACCACAGCAAAATTAATAGGCTAGTTTGCTATTCATCATTCAGTAGAAGATTTTCTTCCCACACACAAAATGTTTCAAAGCAGAAAAGGGAAAACAGCCCACTTGTGCAGAAATATGCCATTTATTTTTGACAATATACTCTAGTGATTTAAAGTGTTAGAACCAGCAACTTACTTGTACATCAAAAAGGCAATCACAGTGACGAGTATGGCCAAGCAGCCAAGGGAGACCAGGATACCATTTGCCATTCTTGAAAGGGAAGCTGGGTCTTAAAACAGAAGCAAGGTCATATTAGTGACAGCTTCCACCTAGAGGACATGCTGCTTGTAATGTAATTAAATCAACAAAGAAGGGAGCAAACAGAAGATATATGGCCCCTCTGAGCTTTCAGTAATCTTTCCCGTTACATAATACATAGTCTTCAGGGCAGCTTACCTTCCATTTAGAGAATGAGTTAGCATGTCTGGAACACTGTGTTAAGGGCTTAAAAGATGTCATGTCCTGAAGACACCTGCTCTGGTCTGAGTTAACCCAGCCACGCCCATGCAGCAGAGGGCTTCACAAATTTCCTCCCACTTCTCTGGCCTCATCTTCCACTGCCTCCTTCCAGCTGGGATAAAGATCCATCCTCCCCATGCTCTTTCAAATTTCCATGCCCTCTGCTGGGAATGCCCATCCCCCAGCTCATTGCCAGCATCTAACCCTTTGCAACACCTTCCAGACATGCATGAGGGCACTGGGTCATGCCTTCCTTTGTCAAGTCTGTCCTTGTCACCCTTCCTCTGCCTCCACCACGCTCTATCACAATTCCTTCTTTGGATTATGTCTTCTTTGTTCTCCCAGAAACCAGCAAATCAACTAGCCTTGTCTCTGCCACCAAAGTGTAAGCAAAGTTGGTCTCTTTTCCCTCTGTCTTCTCCGCCACCATCACAGTTCCAGCCACCAGCCCTCTCCCTTGTGAGGACATCTTCACCATCTGCTCACTTGCAGTGTTACCTTCCAATAATCCTGGCTTCACTCAGCAGTCTGAATGATCATCTAAAAGTACTAACAGGATCACGCTTCAACCCTGCCAGCGGTTCCCCTTACACACAGAATAAATGCAAACCCTATCAGCGGCATATAAAGATTTAGGCGAGCTGCTCATTCTTGAAATGCAGGTCTCAGTTCGGAGGGGGCCCTTTGCCAAGCGGGTACCACCAGGTTGGCACACTTTCCTGACCTCCTGATCGAGGGTCCACGTCTGTCTCCTCTCTTCCCTGCTTGTCACCCTGCATGCTCTGTTTCACTGTCTTCACAGCATCATCTTGTTGGTTTATTCCCTGTTTCTGCTTACGAAAGCGGGGATCTTCCTTACCTTGTTCTCACTCTATCTACAACTGTCTCTGTGGTGCCTGGAGCTGTGCTGGGCATGGAGTGGATACCCACTGAATATTTGTTGAAAACATCCCAGGTGCTTCATGAACATTTAGTGAATCAATGATTAAAAGTCATTTCAGCTAAAAGTCTATGCGCTCGCCTTCGAACAGTGGTCAGCTTTGGAAATTCTGACTCTGAAACCCAAGTCATCAGTTCACAATTTCCATTGAATTAAAAGCTCTCTTTCCTTCCTTTTTTGGATTTTAAAAGTGGCTCAAGGAGGGACTTTCTTGGTGGTCCAATGGTTAAGAATCCACCTGCCCATGCAGGGGACATGGGTTTGATCTTTGGTCCGGGAAGATCCCACATGCCACGGAACAACCAAGCCCATGCCCCGCAACTACTGAACCCACACTTACTGCAGTGAGAAGACCAAGCGCCACAGCAAAGACTATCCACTTGCCTCAACTAGAGAAAGCTCATGCACGTGGTAACTAAGACCCAGCGCAACCATAAATAAATAAATAGAATGGCTCAGGGACTTCCCTGCTGGTACAGTGGCTAAGACTTCATGCTCCCAATGCAGGGGGCCCCAGTGTGATCCCTGGTCAGGGAACTAGATCCCACAGGCCACAACTAAAGATCCTGCCTGCCACAACTAAGACCCAGTGCAGCCAAATAAATAAATTTTAAAAAAAACCACACACAGTTCAGGTCACACCTAAAGATATCACTAACTACAATAGGTATTAAAGGAAAGCAAATATCCAAGCATCTAATCCAGGTAAGAGAATGGTGATTTGCCAGAACTGAGGAAGCTTCATGGACTAGGTTAGGACTCTAAAAGGCAGTTTTAAAAGCAGCTGCGGCAACACAAGAAGAATGACCCCAGTAGCTCCCAAAAGTGATGGCATAGAAGGTCCACATTCAGTAGGATACAGAGGCTCTGGCTACCTCTTTTTCCCCATGCTCCCGTCCTGCACCCCAAGCCCCATGTATCCTGCCTTCAAGGAAGCAGGGTATATTTGCATCCTTTTTTTTTTTTTATGTACACCTTGGCTCTCACCAAAAATAAAAGCTCAAGCAAATAATTATATGCATTATTACTTATGCTAATCTTTCAATAAGGTTAAAGCTGCCTTTTATACAGTTAATGAGTAAATATATATTTAAGCACATTTCACTTTATAAGATAGACTCCAAGACCAAAAGAATTATTTGTAAGTTAGTCATTAGATTATATCTGACAATACTCAAATTAAGGAGCAAAGTGGGAACTTCTTTAGTGGTCCAGTAGCTAAGACTCCATGCTCCCAATGCAGGGGGCCTGGGTTTGATCCCTGGTCAGAGAACTAGATCCCACATGCCACAGGTGAAGAACCACACGCCGCAGCTAAAAATCCCACATACTGCCACAAAGATTAAAGATCCTGTGTGCCACAACTAAGACTCAGCACAGCCAAATAAATAAATAAATAATTTAAGAGCAAAATACATTCTGTCTTGTGTGCACAATTTTACCTGTCCCTTCCGTTCCACCATGTAGCACTTCTTTTAAGAAGTGAAGAAATATTTTACAACATAGCCAGTTATATGTGAATTTCAGTTAGGGTCACCAGGTAGAGTCCCTAGGGGTTAGGGAAAATAAACAGCCACCAGTGAACGGGAATTTCTCAGTGAAATTCCTTCATCCACTTTGTCAACATGTTACCCCTCTGAGGTTAAGGGGACAAGGAGTAGTCTGTCAGCTGAACATTTAAGGACTGGGTAATCTGGTTTGTTGCCGTCTCAGCGTAATGCTTGGTAGACTTTGAGAAAGAAAAGAAGGGTCCATGGTAACTTAGAAGGGAGCCAAGAGTCCACCTGGCTTCTCATTTCTCTTCTTGGCGTCATGTCTTTGTCCAGGTGGATTCTGAGGACATGAGAGCAGTCTCCCCTTTGTTATAGTTTAATTGGAGAACATTGTTATTTTTTGATGTTGGGCTTTATAGTTTCCCTTTGAAATACGAACCTATCCAAGCATTCAGTGACCACATCCCATCATTACTTATCCGTGATCACAGCTGACTTTTTTCATCAAAAGGCTTTTCTTGGACTTCCCTTGTGGTCCTGGTGGTTGAGAATCCTCCTGCTAATTTAGGGGACACAGGTTTGATCCCTGGCCTGGGAAGATTCCACATGACGCAGAGCAACTAAGCCCATGCACCACAACTACCAAAGCCCAGGTGAGTGCCTAGAGCCTGCACTCCACAAGAAATGAAGTCACTGCGATGAGTAGCCTTCACATCGAAACTAGAGAGTAGCCCCCGCTCACCACAACTAGAGAAAAGCCTGTACAGCAACAAAGACCCAGCACAGCCATAAATAAATAAATGTAGAGGTTTTCCTTTGGCCATTATTTCATAAGTTCTCTCTCTCTCATCCCTTCCCTAAGTAGATTTGCTATTGTATTGTAATATCATTTCTCAAATCCCCATTAATGACAGCTCAATGAATTTTACACTGGAATACAGCTAAACATTGAGAGTGAAGTGTTGAATAGCTTTAGTATCTGACACATGCTTTATCTGCAACACGAAATGTTCATACAACCATAAAACAAAACTTACCTCTGCTGGAGATAGAGACAAGGGTGCTCGTGAGGGCCAGACTCGCATCATCACCCAGAGTGAGATTCATACAGTATGTCCCAGACCCACTGAAGGCTCTCCTCACGGTCAGCAAGCACGCGTCACCCAGCTCCACGGCCACAGGGTCGCAGACTGGGTTCTGGGTGATCTGGCAGCTGGGGTCAGAGATGACGGTGCAGACCTCTGTGGGGATGCTGGGGGGTATGAATGACATCCAGAGGGAGAGAGAGGGGAGTACGACCTCAGTTTAGGAGGAAAACATCATTACATTCCTGTGAAACTGAATCCCACCTTAGTCTTACTCAAACTATATCATGTGAAGCTGTCACATACAATTTACTCTTAAACAAACCTGGGTGTGTGTGAGCCGCTGTTTCCTCTATATGGTCAGGAAGGTGAGGCCCTAGGACTGCAGGAGGAGGAAATTATTTCCCCCAAGCCAAGGGGCTGCTGGGAACTTGCCTCTTCTCTTTGGCTCCCTAGACACTCAAAGACGCAGGTGGCTTAGGTGTTAGGCTAAGGTAGGACTAAATGCCAGCCGGCCTTGAGTGGGCCCGTGCAGATATCTGACTACAGTAGCAGCTGCAGCCGGAGCTGTTCGTGCAGCGCCTGCTGTGTGCGGGGGCCCCGAGTCTCAGATAAGCGACACGGCCTTGTCTATTCCTCTCAGCGGCCTGACGAGGCAAGTCGTAGTAGCCTAACGCAGCAGGTGAGGAACCACCTCTGGGAGGAGAGCTCACTGGCCTCGGTCACAGAAGCAGTTAGAGGTGGAGCTGGGATTTGCATGAAAGATATTTGACAGCTGTCCCTGTAACCATTCGTGTCTTCGCCTCTGTTTCACGTCTGAGTAGACTTCCTGAATGGAAGAGAGACCAGGCTCTGAAGCGAGGCTGATAAAGGCTCAGGGAATTAGATGAGTTCATGCTCTCTTCACCCCAGGCCCCTGGTAGCACCTTTGCCTCTCCAGTCAGGATGTTCTCTCTTTCTGTCCTCCCATTCTCTCCCCAACTCAGAGAGCTTTGGAGCTATTCCTTTCTTATTTTGCACTGTACCACTCAGCTTGCCAGACCTTAGTTCACTGACCAGGGATGAGCCCATGCCTCCTGCAGTGGAAGTGGGGTCCTAACTACTAGACCACCAGAGAATTCCCTGGAGCTCTCCCTTTGGATCAAGTATGGCCTCATTTTTATACCGGCTCATTTTCTAACCTATACATCACATACTTACATACATATAGTCACTAAGTCATATCCGACTCTTGCGGCCTGCCAGGCTCCTCTGTCCATGGGATTCTCCAGGCAAGAATACTGGAGTGGGTTGCCATTTCCTTCTCCAGGGGATCTTCCTGACCCAGGGATCAAACCCAGGTCTCCTGCATTGCAGGCAGATTCTTAACCTCTTTACCGACTGAGCTACAAAGGAAACCCATATATATCATATACACAACATTTTAATTCCTTGATTCATTTATTATATTTAAATTATTTAAATATTTAATGGGTTAATTTATATAGTATTTATATATTAATTACTTTCTATTTAGTCTATTATCTATATATGTGCATGCTCAGTCGCAACCGACTCTTTGGGAGCCCATGGACTATAGCCTGCCAGGCTTCTCTGTCCAAGGGATTTCCCAGGCAAGAATACTGGAGTGGGTTGCCATTTCCTCTTCCAGGGGAATCTTCGTAATCCAGAGATCAAATCCATGTCTCCTGCACTGCAGGTGGATTCTTTACCACCGAGCCACCAGGGAAGCCCCTATTGATTATAGTTGTAACCAAACCACAGGAAGTCAAATTATGTAATACATTAGAAAGAGTTTTATAAGTTTAAAGAGAGACAGGTTAATCAGGCGTTGCTATTCATTAGCACAAGGACACAGCCCTTCCACACTGGCTCCCCAGACTCCAGAGGAGCCTCAGGGGAACTTCAGAGATTCTGAGCCTGCGAACCTTGCTCTGCCGGGTACCCACCACCTGGAGAGGTACTATAATCATTGTGTATCTGGTGGCCCAATCTGTAAAATGAGAAGACTCGTATGATTATGTGAGGATTTGACATGAAAACAGAAGTAAAATGTTAAGGACACAGTAAGTGTCCAATCAGTAATTATTCAACAGTTAAAGGTGATGAGCATCGCTCAACTCTAGCAAAGCTAGTACACACTTGAGAGTACTTGTGAGGGCCATCCTCATTCTGGCTTAGTGAGGAACTAGAATCCAAATCTGGGGCTTCCCAGATGGCACTGGGAGGTGCCAAAGTGGTAAAGAGTCCACCTGCCAATGAAGGAGATCTAAGAGACTTGGGTTTGATCCCTGGGTTGGCAAGATCTCCTGTAGGAGGAAATGACAACACACTCCAGTATTCTTGCCTGGAGAATTCCCACGGACAGAGGAGCATGACAAGTTATAGTCCACGGGGTTGCAAAGAGTCAGAACTGAGTGAGCAACTGGGTACACAGATTCCAAATCAACCTTACAGGTGGGAGGTGTGCGAAGGCCATTGTTCCGCTGGGGTTCTCACTTGGCCCCTTCCTTCCTCAGAGACTGTGTACTCACCTCCCTTGGCAGGTCACGACGAAATCCACCAGGGAATTGTCAGGCTGTGGCCCAGGCATCAGGACATCTGTCACCTGGATGATGTTAACCTCTAGAATGCCCTCTAATGAAACAATACCCCATAGAAAAACACATCAAAATACAATGAAAACCAAACCACCTCTTAACAAATCAGAAGGCCAAACAAAATGAACAGAGTCGTTCGCCATGCCAGACTTGGGAAGCTATCCCAGAGTTTGGATACATGTCCAGGCTGCATTTTCAAAGTCAAACTGAACTGTTCTCCAGTCCAAGCTTGACCTTCATTCCTGGAGCCTGTGTACGTGTCAGGAGGCAGATGACCCTGGAGGAAGGGAGGCCTCATCCACTGTGTCTCCTGCCACGGGGCTCAGCCCTAGAGCATACAACGTGAGTTGTAGCCCCACCCAACTCCTCTGCTGGGCACCAGTGAGAAGTGCCCCTCATGCACAGCCCTGTGTGGCTGTTCTTTTCAACCCCTTTCTCATACACAGGAGGTGTGACTTTGTGGAATCACCCAGGAGAGGAAAGCAGGAGCTGTGGGAACTTGCAGCTGGCCTTCCTTCAGGCCACATTCATTCAGATTTCTGAGCTGCACAGGGTGAGGAGGTCCAGGCCCCCCGTAGGTTCCTCGCTAAGCGGGCCTCACTGAGGGCTTGTTTCCACAGAGGACCTCGTTTCATCTCTTAGAGGGATGTCTAAGGAAGGCTGGAAAGGCAGGTAGAAATTTAGAAGCTAGTGGAGTCTTTTTTGTGCATGTGTGGTAGCACCTTGAGTGGGTGCCCTCGTTTCCCAACCCCACCCCTCCCTGGAGTCAGGGAAGGGAGTGGGTTGCCCAAGGTGGATTCTAACATCTTTCCCCCATGGTCTTACCTACAATTGTGATGGTGGCTTTAAAGTAGCCATATCTGGTAATATGGCAACTTTCATCAGGAATCTCCCACAGCTCCAGGGTATTGTCACCAGTAGGTACTAGAGAGTTTAAATAGAAAGATTTTTAGATAAGTTGCTGAGAATGCAAAAGATGTCCATGATATAACTAAAGATCTAAACGTCTGTTTATTGCTCTTTAGAAAAACATCAAGAATTCTATACTACTAAATTGCTTCAGAAATTTGAACTAAGTGCATAACAATTCATGAGATGTGAGAGCTACATTATAAAATTGTTAAATTATATAAGCAAACACAGTCCCATGTCTCATTCAAATATAAATAGCAAATGAAAGGTGGAAGCCATTTTAAAATGTGTAACATAATAATCATGAAATAAAGCAGGCTACAATAGATAAAATTATACTGTAATTTTGGAAGAAGGTATTCTGGGCTCAAATTCTAGGCCCCTTGCTTTCAGCTCTTTGAGACCATGGGCAGATCATTTAACTTCTCCTTGCCTCAATTTGGCCATCTGTAAAATAGGAACAATATTTACTGACCTACCAGGGTTGAACTATTAAGCTTAAATAGATAAGACATATAAAACTTGCTTCTCACGCCTGCCACGTAGGAAGTAATTAATAAATATTCATTTCCTTGTCCCAATATGCTCTTATAATATATATATATTTATTTAGATATAGGTGTGTTATAGCATATATGACATGTAATTTTAAATGTTAAGAAGCAAACAACGTGGAAAAAGGCAATTCTTTCCCCATTTGGATGTCTCATGGGTCCTAGGTTTGTATTCTCGAAGTCTTACAGTCACTGTGATGAGCAGAGGTGTGAGGAAGGAAAGAAAGGAATACAAGATACTTTTGAAAAATAGCCCTTTGAATGTGATTAGAGCAAAGAATTTAATGCTCTATTAGTTACAATTTAAAAGGCTCTAAATAAGGTGTTGGTGTTCCATTAGCAAGATAAAAAGACTGGAAAGAAAATGTATTATTGAAAATACAACATTGTTGTCTCTTAAATTTCCAAAGACATGAAAATGGACCCAGTTTGGGGGGAATCAAAGCTTCATAAGAGGTGCAGCTCTAACATAGGAGTATGTAAGGATGGAGTCAACTGGGAGATTTCTCTAGGGCCTCAGAGCCTCTAGTGGGGAACGAGTGTGCCTGTGATGCTCCTATGCTGAGGGAACTTCGCAGAACAGCTCTCAGAGCAACTCTGGAAATGAGTGCTCTGTGGCAGACACTTTGGGAAACATTGTTTGGGTAAAACCCAGAAAGGTTCTGACACCATGTCAGATTCAGATGTAGGTGTGGTTTATCAGCAACGCAGGCTGTGGCAGAGTTGGCTATATTCCTTGAGTCTCAAGGTGGTCGTTTGGAAGTTGCAGGGTAATCATTCATTGTATTCTGAGATTTAACGGATGGGCTTCAAAGCAAAAGATATGTTTGTGAAGGGTATTAGGGGTGGCAGCCTCTTCCCTAGAAAACTTCTTTATAGTTTGGACCATAAAGAAGGCTGAGTGCCGAAGAATGGATGCTTTTGAATTATGGTGCTGGGGAGACTCTTGAGAGTCCCCTGGACTGCAAGGAGATTTAATTTATACACACACACACACACACACACGCACACACACACACACAGACACACACATAGATAATATATATATAACATGATATATATATATACATACATATATATATATATATATACACATTATACTCACACACAGACACACACATACACACACACACACATACATACTAAGTCACTTCAGTTGTGACGGACTCTTTGTGACCCCATGGACTGTAGCCCACCAGGCTCCTCTGTCCATGGATTCTCCAGGCAAGAATATTGGAGTGGGTTGCCATTACTGAATCTTTCTGACCCGGGGATCGAACCCACATTTCTTAAGTCTCTTACACTGGCAGGCAGCTTCTTTTTCACTGAGTCATCAGGGAAGCCATACATAAATACATATATCATATATATATTATAACACTGATTAGCATCAGTCTTGGAAAGGTTTATCTTTTTAGATTTGTGCACAAAATTCTGAAAAATGATCAGTGGCACTGTTAGCTAAGGGAAGAGAATTCTGGGGCTTAAAGCAAGTGCATACCTGTCTATCCTATAACGTAATTACCCCCTGAGTCACCACTTCAACTTTGCTTATGTCTCACTCCTGCGGCTGCATTTGGTTTCTATGTAATAGCTGTACTTATTTCGAAGCCACGTACCAAAGCAGAGACAACATAATTTCTGGTCAAATAGCAATCCAGTGTTCAACAGTCCCAGCCTGTTAATATGGTCTATGTAGTTAAAAATGCTCTCTCCCCAGAGGACAAGCACTCTAACCCCTTTCTCAAGTCATGGGCTAACTCCTATCATCACCTTGGGTCCCATTACATATTTCTGCCCATCCAAGTCTCACAGTTGTTTTATGGCATTTTGGGATTGATTATGGTTGATCTAATACCTTTAGATGAAGTCAAGTAGCTTCCTTTCACTATAAAATGTAGTGAATTCATAAGGTTGCTACCTTCTATCTTATGGTTTAACCTATAGAAAATAACAACACATTTAAACTGCTCTTTCATTGACTTAAAATATCTTTTGCATATGTTATGATATAAATATGTTCTAAGAAAAATAATCTTGCTTTATAAAAATGCAATTCAAAATAGACTAACATTAAAACCTTTACCATTCAGGAATTTCTAGACAGACAAAGCAAGCATCTGTAATTTATTTTGAATTTTACACTTGATGTCCTTATTTGTGAGGAAGACAATCAATTCTTGTGGATAAATAAACTGACTCTTCTCCAGAAATACCAAAGCAAAGCTATATGTTTAGAGTTGTTCAAGGCAGTTATATTTATAATAAGAATTAGAATGAAGTGAAGTGTCCATCAATAAGAGAACGGTTAAATAAAGAAGTCATTGAATAAAGTGAATTACACTTACATGTACTTATAATGGACAGATGTCTGTGATGTTTGTTAAAATGAAATGAGGCAAATTGTAAAGCAATATATATTGTGTGAGCCCATCTACCTAAAAATTAAAACCACAAATCCTATTTGTATTTATGGAATATGTTTGTAAATGGACAGAAAAGATCTGGAAACAAACACTACCAACTCTTCCAAGGTTTTACTCTTGGGAGGAGAGAATAAGCAGGAGCTTTCACTTTTATTTGAAATTTCTGAATTTGAATTTTTACTAATGAACATGCATTAATTTTATAATTAAAAGTATTTAAAAGAAAGCAAAATCAGCAACAACTTACAGTGTCTGGTATTAGATATGCTTGACTTAATAAGTTTTTTTAACAACACACTTACTTATTAATAGCAGTTTATTGTTTATATCTAATAGGTCTGGGTTAAAAAAAAAAGCCAACTGTACAATGAGGTACCATTACACGCCAGTCAGGATGGCTGCTATCCAAAAGTCTACAAGCAATAAATGCTGGAGAGGGTGTGGAGAAAAGGGAACCCTCTTACACTGTTGGTGGGAATGCAAATTAGTACAGCCACTATGGAAAACAGTGTGGAGATTCCTTAAAAAGCTGGAAATAGAACTGCCATATGACCCAGCAATACCACTTCTAGGCATACACACTGAGGAAACCAGATCTGAAAGAGACACGTGCACCCCAATGTTCATCGCAGCACTGTTTATAATAGGCAGGACATGGAAGCAACCTAGATGCCCATCAGCAGACGAATGGATGAGGAAGCTGTGGTACATATACACCATGGAATATTACTCAGCCATTAAAAAGAATTCATTTGAATCAGTTCTAATGAGATGGATGAAACTGGAGCCCATTATACAGAGCGAAGTAAGCCAGAAAGATAAAGACCATTACAGGATACTAACACATATATATGGAATTTAGAAAGATGGTAACGATAACCCTATATGCAAAAAAAGAAAAAGAGACTCAGATGTATAGAACAGACTTGTGGACTCTGTGGGAGAAGGTGAGGGTGGGATGTTTCAAGAGAACAGCATTGAACCATGTATATCTAGGGTGAAACAGATCACCAGCCCAGGTTGGAAGCATGAGACAAGTGCTCGGGCCTGGTGCACTGGGAAGACCCAGAGGGATAGGGCGGAGAGGGAGGTGGGAGGGGGGACCGGGATGGGGAACACATGTAAACCCATGGCTAGTTCATTTCAATGTATGACAAAAACCACTGCAATGTTGTAAAGTAATTAGCCTCCAACTAATAAAAGTAAATGGAAAAAAAAAAAAGCCAACGGCAACAAGTCTGGACATCACCATGGAGTATTCTGTCTGTCCTTGGTGATGGCACCCTCTTGTGTCCAGTGAGAGGATGTCAGTCTACTGCCATCCCTGGGATGCCTGGATGGAAGATGTATTCATGGCTGAGTGGGAAGGATGGTGACGGCATGGGGTAGGGTACAGAATTAGATGAAAGCTAATGCTTCTCAAAGTAAATGCTCAAGAACTTCTTGAATGTCCCCATATATTATTATGAGAAGTTGGGATTAATTAATTATGCCTTATCTCTAGAATGATTTTAGTGTCTGGAATCTTTCCAGTCTGCTAGCCAAGAAATGTTCTCAAGGTTTATTCTTTTTTGAGCCCTTTGTAAACTACTTATAAGGATGGCTGAGTTTTCATAGGACATGGAGTGGATGTGGGCAGGGTGGGGAGGAGAATGGAAGTGGGGGAGGGAATGTGGAAGGGGAGAAAGGACAATGGAATGGCCTGAATGTTTATAAGGGGATAATGTGTCTCCCATTAACTAGAAAAACTGGGAGGCAAACAGAAATGTGAAGGACTGGAAGGGGGAAAGCACCTGTATACATAACAAGAAAACAGTGAGAATTAGGAAGGTAAAAAAACTGTATATGAACCAAGTGACTTTAAACATATTCTCCTTCCTTCCATGTTCTAACAACTAAACGTCATGATAAGTAGCTAAAGGAAATCAACAGGTAGAAAACGGAATCACTGCAGTCTTTACATAATCTCTTTAACTAAGGATCTGATTATACAAACCACATGAGTTTTTTTCTAGCTGTTAAGGAGCCCTGCCAACAAAACTTAACCTGGAAAACACTTACCCAAAGAAGGGGTGGTTTTTGGAGGTCTGGGTGAAGGCAAAGGACAAGGTCCAGGCACTTCTGCTTGCACGGTGAGGTTAAGGCTGAAGGTTCCATTGAGCACATAGGTGTGATTCAAAGTGTGATTGTTGGAAACAAAGAGACCAGTATTATCCCCGAAATTCCACGTGTAGTAAATGGCAGACTCATTGAGGAAGTGGCTGGGATCGTGAATCAGGACACTGAACGTAATGGGGAGGTCCCTGAGGAAGGTTTCATCAGATGAATTTCGATTGTTCTTCTGGGACATAGTTACAAATACAGGAATCTGATCTAAAATGTACATTAAAATAAAAAAGAAACAAGGGGGGCGTGATTGCTTGATTTTAAGTGGGTGACTTCAACAGTGCCTTTAGTTTGGAGATTAAAATGAGGGATAATTCAGCATCGTTTCCCATTTTTTAATGCAAGTTTTCTAGAGTTTTCTCGGTTTACTTTAGAAAACACAGATGGAACATGTTATTAAATATATGAGATTGAGAAGGAGTCCAGATGAGGCGTAACCTAACCCAGAATATTTAGTTCTACTTTTTCAAACCCACTAACATCACCAGAACTCAGCACCTCGTCCTCAGTTAATTCAGAGCTCACATCACTCACCTGTTACTACATACACATCTTTCACTTTTGCGATGGGAACATATGTCCGTCGGTGTCTTCTAAAGACAGTTACTTCCATGATTTGAGGGCCAAGACTCACATTGGCTGTGTTTATGGAAACTGTCACTGAACACTGTCCCAATTTCTGGAAATACTGACCTTTGAGAAGATAGAAATGTTTAGTTATTGGCTACATCATATGATCATGATAGAAAGTTGATGTTCCTTAAAGACTAACAACTACCATTTACAGATTGTTTTGAGAAAGGAAAAACAGGGTGGGGATGCTGTCTTGGTTCCTTCAGCAAGGAAGACAGTGCTTATTTTTATATAAAACCTTACAAAACCCACAAACAAATGTAATTGTATATAGCTGACTAAAATGAAAAGAGCTGTTTAAGTGGGATAATGCTGTTAGTCCTTAGTTGACAAATACTTTTTTTTTTCCATTTATTTTTATTAGTTGGAGGCTAATTACTTTACAACATTGCAGTGGTTTTTGTCATACATTGAGATGAATTAGCCATGGATTTACATGTATTCCCCATCCTGGTCCCCCCTCCCACCGACAAATACTTTTTATAAGTAAGTGACCTGGCACTTGAAATACATGTGCTTCCCACAGAAAATACATTTAATGTAATAGTGAAGTATTCAAGGGAGTTAGAAAATATATCAAAAAATCTACCTTATTTTTGTAATAGTATTACTAGTTCAGCTATATTGCTGAGCAACTTTTTTTCTTTTAGGGAGCTAGATTCCTCCGTCTTCTAATAATATTTGTATATGAAAATGCAGTGGTGAAAAAGAAACAGGTATGGTGGGTATGAAAAGGAATGAAGTAGTTTCGTTGACATTTCTAGGGTCCTTGAGTCCTTTTTCTTTCTCCAACTCTAACCTAAATCTAACCACCACTGACTAGCTAGTGACAGTAATTTTCTCTCCTTTAGGGCTCAAAGATTTTTCTAATCTTTTTGAGGCACCTGTCATAGATGCGTCATTGGAACAAAAGGTATTAGAAGATGGATACTTGTAAGATGGGGATGTTTAAAGACCATGTTTATCACATGATCAAAGATGTCAGGAAAGAGGGTGCTTCCCCGGGCAGTCCAAGCATTAAGATTCTGTGCTTCTACTGTAGGGCGCATGGGTTTGATCCCTGGTCAGAGAACTAAGATCCCACATGCTGCGAGGTATGGCCAACAACAAAAAAAAAGGTGTCAGTAAAGGTTCAGGATCCCCCTTTACCTTGAAACACAGAGGCAGTTCTGTTAGAGATTACAGGGGGAAGACATGTCTCTTGGAATTAGTGATAGGTGAGGAAATGCTAGTTATGGCACACAGTGGCAGACCACAGTGGCAGCGCTTAGCTGAGAGAAAACGTCAGTTAACTCTGAGACTTCAGCAGAAAAAGGAAATTCAAAACAATCTTGTTAGGAAAACAGCAATTTCTGGACTAAAAGCTGATGTTAAATAAAGACATCTTAACTGGCTAAGTTAATGGATATTAACTAGGCTAAACAGAATCTGAAGTGTTAGTGAGTTTATGTGACTCCATGTACATGACAAATGTCATTTCAGGTCAAAGAAATGACATTTGGGGAGTTAACTGACAGGGCCACAGTTTCAGGGCCACAAGGCCCTGAAAAAAATTTGCTTTAAATCAATGAGCACAGTATTTGTTATATATTTTGTACTTTGTTCAACTGGAGTATATTATTAATATGTTGCTTTGATTTGTAAATAATTGAAGAAAGAAAAGCTCTCTGAAATTCATTGAGACTGACAAAACATTCCAAAATTTGGAGTTTGTGTGATGGCTAGCAGATTTGAACTGCTCAGATCCAGATGGAACCTAAGATTTTTAACTAAGAATTCAGCAGCTTTGCTAATAACAACCTAAATTTAGTCCTCCTAAAAAAAGAATCACTAATAATAAAGCAAAATGGATTCCATAAGATCATGCAAGTTGCATAAGAATTTTAGTCAATGCTCATAATTTTGACCAAAATGTGTATATGTTATGATCTTAATTAAGAAATACTAGAAAAAAAGAAAGAAATACTAGTAGAGAAAGCACCATCATGTTAACAATGATAATCTCTGGTATGAATTACGGTGACTGATTTTTCATTTGTGCTTTTCTGCATTTTCCAAATTTTCTATTAAGAGTATAAATCTAATTCTTTAAAATTATTTAAAAAATATAATAAATTAAAGAATAAATCAACAAATGACCATCCATATGCCATTCAAATATCATTTTTCATATTACTGCTTTAGACAGAAACAAATTGAGTAGTTCTTTTTTTAAAAAAAAAGAAAGCCAAACCTGTCTTTTTCTCCTTTTAACTATTTGATGTCCTAGAGATATGGCAAGGCTAGCCAAGATTTTATTTTTATCCCTCACTGAAGGAAAGTTAAAAGAGTAATTGTTAAACTCCTGGTGTTTAAGTTCTCAATAATAGAATGAGAAAAGAAAAATAAAATTAAAAATTTTAAGGAAAGGTAAAGAAGAAACTAGGGGGGATTGTAATAGCCCAACCAAGTGTGTGGAACACGTAGACAAAATTCTTTTTCCAGGGGTGAGGGAAAGGCTTCCCATCAGGGAACACATTGTGATGGCCTTCACTGGTGTCGTTTTCCCAGCCACTGTCCTCTGTCCACGCTGTCCAGTTGTAAACATAAAGGTCAGGAGATGGACCAGTATCTAAACAGAGAAAGGCGCACACCATGATTGTCATCTGGGCTCAAAACGCTCAATGTTCACCACTGAATTAAATAAATTTTCATATTTTTTCATAACTAGTTGAGATACGGTTAGACAACTAACACCCTAATATTCAGAATTCATCTAATGATACCTTTATGACTTGGGTCTTTTTCTGCCTACATATTGTATTTCAGTGAGTTCTATATAAAGCAATTTTTCAGAAAAGTTCAGAGATTTCATTTAATATGTTTATCTTCATATTGGGGCTCCAAATCACAAGCATATTCAAAGCAAACTGAGGGAAGCTGTATCTTTTTATTTTGATTCACTTTGTCTATCTGGAGCTTTTTCCCCCAACTCATCTGACATCATGACTTTCTTCTCCTAAAGACTTCAGCACACTTCTAAGAATAAAGACATTCTCCTTCATAATCACACCATTACCACCCCTACCACAGTCCAATCAAGGGCCACATCCTACACATGCTATTTCATTTCTTCAAACGATTTGGAAAAAAGATATATAAATAGAAACACAGATAGATGGAAGCAAACAGAAAAAAAACATTAAACTTGCTGAATTTTGATGTACTTGCTCCCTACTTTTCTGAATGTATGACATTTTCTACTTTAAACAAGTCATGATCAATATATTTTCATTTGAAACAATCTTCTCATCCTTTTTTTAATGTTCACTGACATTTATCGAGAGCCTTTTATTTATCCATCTAGTACGGCCACTATTTTTTTTTTTTTTATTCTTAAATTGTCCCACACATGGCCAGTAGGGGCCCCTCAAGCTGCCTCTGTGTCCCTGTGACATATCCCCGTTACTTCCTTGTCTACTGGCACGAGATGTCCCTGGCTCACCTGATAGTGTCCTGTCCTGCACCTGGAATCAGTCATCTCTTTCAAGAGCACTGATTTCTTCTAACGGTGAGAGGTACTTTATAAAACTTCCCATGTAAAAGTTTTTTTACATGGACTCTTTCATGTAAAAGAGAACTGCATTGTCACTTGAAACATTCATAAGAATCAACTTGTTTAGTGAGATAAAAGCAAAAAAAAAAAAAAAAAAACTACAGGCTACTAAATATAATACTTTTAAATGATCAAACTCTTTCTATACAGAATTTGTTGTTTTCCTCATCGGAAGATGAATCGAAAAGAAATAAACCATTGGCAGTTTAATAGAAGTTCTAAGTAATAAAATCAGATCATCACTGCCCTTACTAGTCTTGTTTCTGACTGAAGAATTTCAGTACTTATTTGAGTTTTTAAGGCTGTTGAGTTCTAACAAGATAATTCCCCTTGATGTGTCCATAATCATTCACGCTCTTTAACTTGGACAAAGAGCTTCTCTGTTTTAACTAAGAACAAAGCAAAACCAAAATATATGCATTTTATCATTTTTGCTAGCCACATTTTTTTTCTGTGAGCAGAAACTGATCTGATCAACAAAGAGCTATCAAATTATTCTTTGAGAAGCCAGAATTCCACTCCTGTGATGTGAATAACATTCCTTACCATTTCTGCAGTTCTTCTCATAGACTATGTTGCCGCTGGTATCTTCCTTTTGGCATCTGGGGAATACCAGGTTCACTGCGAATGTTATGGTTGAGCCCACCAATGCTGGGGAATCACTGGTCAGAACTGCCTGCACACGGCCTCCTAGGACATAGAAACAAGGAGCTCAGTGATCAAACATCTCTTTTCCTTTTCACTGATAAATAAAAAAAGGAAAGCTAAATCTACAAATAAGCACCAGAGGATCCTTCTGCCTCTTTACAATAAATTATTTGCAGGACTCCCAACTTTTGCTGTCAGAGCACAACACTCCAGAAGATGAACTTAGAAAGTCAGACCAACTGAAGAACTCTCTGACCACAGAGAGAACAATTACTTAAATAATTAAAAATCTGTTTAATTTGATTGAGGAAATATGTATTAAAGGTTTGCAATTTTTAATTTCAAAGTGAATGACTGAAGGAGTCATTCATTTTTGATGTGAATGGAAAGATAATAACTTTCTGACAAATCATACTTTTGAGATGGTCAAAGTGCTCTGGAATCTCAGAATTTTTGAAGATGACCATTCCCACATTAAACCTGCTTGCTTTCCAAAATCTTCCAAGAGGTACCAAATGTAAATTTCTAAGGAGGTTAAATTCTGTGTGTGGAGGAGAGTGAGGAGTTTAGAAAGTGATACTGTGACAATAAAGGGAACATTGCCAAATCCAGGTGCCTCCCACTTGATAACTAGTGTACTATCATTCATGGATGCAACATGAGTCCTGTTGCTTTCATGAATAGAGAGTCCACAATCTACAACACGAACTGAAAGGAGAAATTACAGTTGTTTGGCAAATGGGACCTAATCAAACTTACAAGCTTTTACACAGCAAAGGAAACCATAAATAAAATGAAGAAACAGTCAACAGAATGGGAGAAAAAGTTTGCAAATGATTTGACCAACAAAGGATTAATTTCCAAAATATATAAACAGTTCATATAACTCAATAACAGAAACCAAACAACCCAATCGGAAAATGGGCAGAAAATCTAAGTAGACATTTCTCCAAAGAAGACATACAGATGGCCAATAGGCACATGAAAAGATGTTTAGAGATATGCAAATCAAAACTACAATGAGGTACCACATTACACCAGTCAGAATGGCCATCTTCAAAAAGCCTACAAATAATAAATGTTAGAGAGAGTGTGGAGAAAAACCCTCTTGCACAGTTAGTAGGAATGTAAACTGGTGCAGCCACTGTGGAAAACAGTATGGAAGTTCATAAAAAAACTAAAAATAGAATTATCACCTGACCCAGTAATCCCACTCCTGGGCAAATAGCAGAGAAAAAATTACAATTCAAAATGATACATGTATCTCTATGTTCATAGCAGCCCTATTCACAATAGCCAAACATGAAAACAACCTAAATGTCCATCAACAGATGAATGGATAAAGAAGACGTGGTACATATATACAATGAAATACTACTCAGTCATAAAAAAATGGAACAATGCCATTTGCAACAATATGGATGGAACTAGAGATTATCATACTGAGCGAAGTAAGTCAGACAGAGAAATACAAATATCCTATGATATCACTTATATGTGAAATGTAAAACATGACACAAATGAACCTATCTATGGGAAACAGACTCACAGACAAGGGGTGGTTGCCAAGGCGGAGGAGAAGTGGGGGAGTTTGAGGTCAGCAGAAACAAACTAGTACACATAGAATGGATACAAAACAACGTCCCACTGTAGGCACAGGGAACTATAGTCAATATTTTGAGATTAACCATAATGGAAAAGAATATTTAAAAAAAAGAATGTGTATAAATATATATATATATATACATATATATCTGAATCGCCACTGTACAGCAGAAATTAACACACTGTAAACCAATTATACTTCTGTTTTAAAACTGAATCACTATTATACACTTGAAACTAAAAAAAAAGAAAAGAAGAAGAAATTACAGTTGTTTGAGTCTTTTGATATACCTTTCCAAGAGCTTTTCCACCTTGAGTCTCCCTTCTTCCACACTGGATAGAGTTTTTCATTCCAGTCATTTTCATCTGAAGACCACCCATTTAATTGGTTGTGCTCCCACATATGACCAGAAGGTCTTTCGTTACTCAGCACATCATGAAAACCTATAAAAATATTTGAAAAAAAAATTATTTTGTCTACTTACCTCTCATTTAGCAGGTATTCAGAGAAGCCATACTGAAAGGATGCCACTAGCCTCTGTCTTCTCTTCCTCCTTGCTGGTAGGAGGAGGGAGCAGCACGTAATTCCCTTTTTATAATAGAGGCAGATGAACACTGAAAGAACATTGATCTGGGAGCCACAGAACCTGCTGCAGTGAAACAGGCTGTGGGATTTCAGGCCACGTTTCTTATCCGGGCCTTCAAATCAAACAAAAAAACCAAATGTCCTGTGATACCATGAGACAGTATGTTTCTAAAAAAGAACAAAGTGAGGAACAAAGGAAATCTATGTTTATTAATAAATGTTCATAACTGGAAATTCAGTTGAATTTTGAGTCATAGAATGATAGAATGTTCGACAATGAAAGAGCTAAGATTAGTTAATTCAAATTCCTTTATTAATAGATGAAGACATTCAGTCCTAGAGAAGTGACATGATTCATTCAGAGACATCTTTAATCAAGTGGAAATGAAAATTTGCAACTTTTGATTCCCAGGATCAGTTTTTTCCACTCTTCCAAGGCCTTCCTGTTTCTCAGATTCTGAGTGAATGTCAGTGTTTCCAGAAACATAATCCAAACACAGATTTCTTCTGACTTTAAATGTCAAAAGTCAAAGAGAGATACACACTTAAAAGGAGAGTGACAAGGAGTGAACATATAGGTCCACAGAACAGACTGCAGAACTCAAAGATAGATTCACATAGATATGCCCTGTTGACTTTTGCAAAAATAATCCAATGGAGGAAAGATAGCTTTTCAACACACTGTGCTGTAAAAAAGCCAAAAGCCTAGGAGGAATCTTCAGGCTCTAAGTAAGAAAGAATTTTTAGACTTAATACCAAAATCTTAATCTATAACAGAGAAATTGATAAACTGGACCTCATTAAAATTAAAAAATTTTGCTCTGCAACATTCTGTGAAGAGGATAATAAGGCAAATTACAGATAGGGAGAAAATACTTGCAAGTCACATTTGCAACAAAGGAACACTATCTGGAACATATAAAGGATCTTCACAATTTGCAATGTTAAAAAAAGCAAATAATTGGACTTCTTTGATGGTCAAGTGGTTAAGACTCCATGTTTCCACTGCAGGGGTTGTGGGTTCGATCCCTGGTTGGGAGGAACCAAAAGCGTACATGCCACATAACATGGCAAAAAAAAACCTTAAAAACTTCAAATAATAGGGTAAAAGATCTGAACAGACATTTCACAAATGAGAATGCACAGATGGCAAGTAAACACATGAAAAGATGTTCAATATCATTCACCAGTGAGTAAATGCACATTAAAACCACAATGAGATGTCACTGTATACCTATCAGAAAGACTAAAATTAAAAATGACATCAGATGTAGAGAAACTGAATCACTCATACACTGCTGGTAGAAATGGTATAGCCATTCTGGAAAACAGCTTGGCAGTTTCCTTGTAAAACTAAACATGCAATTACTATGCAACCAAGCAGTTGTACTCTTGGGCATCTGTCCCAGAAAAAATGGAAACTTATGTTCACATAAAAACCTGTACATTAATGTTCATAGCAGCTTTATTCATAATAGCCCAAGTTGGAACAACTAGAAAATCCTTCAGTGGGGCAAATGGATAAACTGTGGTACATGACATAGTGTGGTATACTACTCAGAGATAAAGAAATAACTATTGATATACGCAACAACTTCAGTAAATTATGCTGAGTAAAAAGAGCCAGTTCTCCCACTGGCTATTACATATTATAAGTTTCCATTTCTCGAACATTCTTGAAGTGACCAAATTATAAAATTGGAGAATGGATTAGTGGCTGCCAGGGGCTGGCAGGTGGGGTTGAGTGAGAAAGGGAAGTGGGTTTGTATCTGTGGTGATGGGACTGTTTGGTGTTTGGACTGTGTCAATGTCAGCATCCTGGCTGTGACATTGTACTATGGCTGTGCAAGATGTTACCCTTGGAGGAAACCAGGTAAAGGGTACATACACAGGGGTCTCTTTGCATTATTCTTAAAAGTGCATGTGAATCTATAATAACCTCAAATTTAAAAAACTGAATTAAAAAATAGAATAAAAGCAACAACAAAAGCCCAACGGTAAAATTTTAAAAGATAGTGGGGAGGGGAAAGATGTGGGGTACACACCCAGCACCATGCGGCTGTTCCCTCTCCCCTTCGTAGGCCCCGCTCTGGCCACCAGCAGAGACACGGCAGCTGGGCTGCTTGTGAGCTATTAATGCTTTGTCAATACCTTCTCCTTCCTCCTTTACCAGGGCTATGATTGGAAAATGGAAAGGAATACCTTGGTGTCTGATATACCATGAAATTCTACCCATCCTTGCTTTTTGTGGCCAGGGTACCTCGTCTTAAGGCCAAGGTGAAACAGAGCAGCAGGTTTTGTTGCAATGCTAATAGGCTGGGCCTCCCGTCAAACTGCCACCCAGCCTCAGGCTAACCTGCCTACTGAGCCGAGCAAGGGGTGCTGGTGGGGCGCACACTAGGATTAGGTGCAGGGGCCTCCCATGACCTGTCAACTCTCTGTCCCTCCATTCCCCAAATGTGGGCTCTGGGGGCGTCTGTCCCGAGTGGACATGGAGGTAAGACAATTCCTCCTCAAGCACTTTAGCCTTCTTCTCTGGGAACTGATCAGTTATTAAATGCTTGTTGATCACTACCATGTCCCAAGGCAACAGAGAAGCCAAGAGATAAATAAGGACAACAGATCCACCCACTTAAGGAATTACAGTAGGGACAAAAAGACACAAATCTTCACACACATAAATAAAAAAAAGATGATTTCAAGTAGCTGATCTCACAAGAATCCCATTACTCAGTTTCACAAAGAAAGAAAGCTCAGAAGAGCTAAGGCACTTTTCGGGGCCCAGACCCAGGGCTGGCAGGAAGGACGGCGGTCTGGTCTGCACGACAGCCTTCTTCCCCTTGCCCGCTGTGCGACCCGGAGCGAGCGCCTTACTGTCTCTGGCCCACCCCCTCCTCTGGGACAGGGGCCTGCACAGCCTCTCTGGGATGCTGCGAGACTCCAGTGCGGCTCAGCGGCCGGACAAGGGCCAAACTCCGGCCCGCGCCGACACAGCACTTGCGTCCGGGCTCCCTGGTTGCCGTCGCAGGCGCTTTCCCAGCCGCTCACTACAGACCTTCCGCTTGGTGGTTAGGGGGCGGGAGGGTGAGTTGGGGTTGGGAGGTCAGCCAGCTTCCGGTCTCAGCGCTGGCTGCAGAACCCTGGCCCCCTGACGCTCTCCCCCTCTCGCTCCATCCCAGGTCGCTGTCCAAGCCCCCCCACCACTGCGGGCTCCTGGCGCCCCGCCCCCCCCCCAGCTCCCCCATCAGTCCCACCGCCACCTGGGGAACTGGCCGGCGTGCTCGGGAGCCAGCAGTGGCCCCCTCTCTTCCTCCTCCACCCAGCAGCCTCCGGGATTGCACTTCATTGCTGGGCTTTTCTCTCTTGAAGGGAGAAGTGAGAGGAATGTGTGTACCTGTGTCCAGAACCCTCCCTTGAGAGATCTGGGCCCAGCAGGTGAAAAGCCAGACCTGGGCTCCTGTTTCCTCACCCGTTGAATAGTGGCAGGACCATCTGGACTACCTGACTGATATAAGTGGAGCAGCTAGCATAGCACTATACATGGTGTAGTACATATTTATGGAAGAAACTGAAGAAGAACTAAAGAGTCTTGATGAAAGTGAAAGAGGAGTGTGAAAAAGTTGGCTTAAAACCCAGCATTCAGAAAACTAAGATCATGGCATCCGGTCCCATCACTTCATGGCAAATAGATGGGGAAGCAATGGAAACAGTCGCAGACTTTATTTTTGGGGCTCCAAAATCACTGCAGATGGTGAATGCAGCCATGAAATTAAAAGACGCTTGCTCCTTGGAAGAAAAGTTATAACCAACCTAGACAGCATATTCAAAAGCAGTGACATTACTTTGCCAAAAAAAGTCCATCTAGTCAAAGTTATGGTTTTTCCTGTAGTCATGTATGAATGTGAAAGTTGGACTATAAAGAAAGCTGAGCACTGAAGAATTGATGCTCCAACTGGTGTTGGAGAAGACTCTCGAGAGTCCCTTGGACTGCAAGGAGATCCAACCAGTCCATCCTGAAGGAAATCAGTCCTGAATATACATTGGAAGGACTGATGCTGAAGCTGAAACTCCAGTACTTTGGCCACCTGATTTGAAGAACTGACTCATTGGAAAAGACCCTGATGCTGGGAAAGATTGAAGGCAGGAGGAGAAGGGGACGACAGAAGATGAGATGGTTGGATGGCACCACCAATTCAATAGACATGAGTTTGAGCAGGCTCTGGGAGTTGGTGATGGACAGGGAAGCCTGGCATGCTACCGTCCATAGGGTCACAAAGAGTTGGACATGACTGAGTGACTAAACCGAACTGAACTGAACACATGTTGGGCCCCTTCTCAGTACCTACCTCTCCCACTCTGCCCCCACCATTGCGCCCTGGCAAAATCAGAACTTTCACCCTGCGAAGGTCATTACTCTACTAGAGTGAAGCAGAGTGGACCTTCTGGGTGATATCTCACTCACTCCCTTCTCCCACTCCACGCTACCTCTGCTTGGAGGACAGGAGCTGCTGGGGCCACACATCCCCTGGACTGGACAAGTGGGCTGCCTTTGAGCTTAGTGGCTCACAACTCCGGCTTCCATTCCAGTCACAAACTCCTCTTTTTAAATCAGCTCCTCATTGGTCTGGGCATTACCTTATTAAGAAGTCCCCAGCCTCTAACTAAAAAAGAGACCCAGGGCTTCAGCTCTTTTCTCAGTAACCTCACTACAGTGGCAGCAAACTCCTGCAGGTCTGTGAAAAATCAGCAGGATTTTCATTTTCTTTCTTTTTTTTTTTTTGGCTGAGCAGCTTGTGGGATCTTAGTTCCCTGCCCAGAGACTGAACCCAGGCCCTTGGTAGTGAAAGCATGGAGTCCTAACCACTGGCCTGCCAGGGAATTCCCTCAGCAGAACTGGCAACAGCTTCTGGGTTGTTATTATTAGAAAGCCTGTTTCCAGAATTGGGCTTCAGTTCCTCTGTGGCCTTATCCAGGCAGATGGAAACCAGACAAACTTTAGTGGGTAGTGTTGTTGTGATCTCAAGCCAGAGACTGTGCCCTTCGCACCCGAACCCTCCCAATGTCTCTAAGAGAGTAGGTGGCAATTTTGATAGAATAAAGCTCCACAACAGAGGGGCCATGCGTCTTTCACTTCCTAAGAGCCTGGAGCAAAGAATGGAACAGAACGCATTTTGCCATGCTCTCAACATCCCCAACCATTTCCAGAGGAAACAAGTGAGCACGAATGCTTCCTGAAGGCCAGCTGCAGACTCAGACAAACCAATCACTTCAGCCAATAGCCAGAGAATGGGTTAAAGGTAGAAACTGAGAGTTACTCACGTTTGGCAGCATCCAGTGGCAATCTTGCAGCCAGAAGCAGAAATCCCAGAAAACAGTAGAGACATTCCATGCTGAATTCTCACAGACCCAGGCAATCAAGGTTTAACTTGTAACTCCTCTGGCTTCATCCACTAAGAACAAGTGTTCTTCTGGTTTTTGCTGTGCTCCGCTCTTCATTTTAATTAAATACTGAGCCTCAGGGTGGATCATGTGATGGTATTAAGCAGCACTGGTCTCTGGAGTTCAACCACTTCCACTCATGTGCTTCTGACTCACTCGCCCTTGGCATCTATTTATTCACTTTTTAGACGCGCACCATTTCAGTGTTGTTATTCTACATTCTAGTTAAAGGGATTTACTTTGCTATAGGGCCTGTTTTGATATCCTTCCCCAAATAAAGTCTCTAACCTCATTGGTTATCAACTTTTTTTAGTTCCTTTGCTGATTCACTTACTCAGATCATGTTGAAAGTCACAATTATGTTTCTTTTGCTATAATTTAGATTAGCAGCTCTTCCCAGTGCTAGCTAGTGCTTGTACATCCCCTTCCCCCAAGAGGAAACTAAGATGGGGAGCAATCTCTTCCATCACTTGAAATTGTGGATGACATATATAAACATATGTTTTGTCAAAAGGTAACTGAAACAGCTGCACAGCCTCCGGTAGTCGAGAAATTTACTCAAGAAAGTGCATTTAGTATATCTGTGCAATTCCATTTAACTTTTGGAACAAACTGCACCAATTTTTGATAACTGCTATCAAAGCATTCATTTATGTGTTGTATCACTCAGGGCAAACTGCATGCCACATACAGCATATTTATTTCATGTTACAGAAAGTAAACATGAAATGTAAAAATAAACTTGGCCTGGAACATTACTTCTATCAAATCATTTATGGCTACAGAATGTGCAGAAAATGTGGCAACATGACTTTACTGTATGTGATCATTCTCTCAGTCACATCCACATAACCGTTCTCAGAACATACAGAAGCCCTGATCAGGGGTGAGGGGAAATCTTGGGGTGGTGATTTCTGCTTCAGTTGTGCTAGTGAGGCACAGAAATACATAGTCTGTGGGGTTCCCTGGTGGTCCAGAGGTTAAGAATCCGCCTTACAGCGCAAGAGACACCGATAATCCCCAGTCCGGGAAGACCCCATGTGCTGGCTCGGAGCAACGAAGCTCATGTGCCACAACTACTGAGGCTGCGCTCCAGAGCCCACAAGCCGCAACTGCTGTGCCCACAAATCACCACTACTGAAGCCCATACACCCTAGAGCTTGTGCTCTGCAACAGGACCCCCTGCAATGAGAAGTCCACGTGAGACGATGAAGAGTAGCCTTTGCTTGCAGAAACTAGAGTCTGCACGCAGCAGTGAAGACCCACCACAGCCAAAAACTAAATAAACCATTAAAAAAAGAGAAAATAGTCTGTGAAACTCCCTACCCTGAGGCCACACACAGCTCTTCAGAGCTCCTTTTACAGCCTTTGAAGCAACTGTGAAGTGGAAAAACAGGGAAGGGAACATATGCACAACTGAAAGAAAACCGATTTCAAATACAGATGAATAAGTGAATAATGGAAATGGCTGTTAGTTTAAAGTAATGTGAATGATCTACATAGTTCTGTTTGCTTTTTACAGAAAACATGAGTGACTTTTATAATTATAAAAAGCTTTTCAGTTTAGGGGAAACTTAGTATTGATTTTTGAAAAGTATGATTTCCTTTTGTTGCTTACAATTAGTTCTGGCTTCTATTTTTGGTCAGATTAGCTCTTACCGTCTCTAAGAAAACTGTCCGACTATTCTGTAAACAAATCTTATTTAGTGTGACAGACACAGTGATCAAGTCCTCTTTTATGTCTTCCCTCCTTCCCTATCCTATCAACACCACTGGCAATGACCAGTGCAACAGACAGGCAGCTAGATGGAGGCCAAGGCACAGAAGTGCTTAATTTCAAGGCACTACAAAGTGGATGATCAGTGCCTTGATCATCAACAGGTGAAAACGTATAGTTTACTTTGTAGGACTCAGATACTGGGCTATGTTGGATAAGAAGTATCTTCAAGCTAGGTTTTTTTTTCCCCCCCGTGAAAAATAAAATTATACTGTGGAAAAGATTTGAAATAGTTACTTCAAAGAGGGCAGCATCTCAATTACTCGGCATTATTGACATGACTATCCTTCTGGAAAGGCTGTAGAGAAAAGTAACAGCCAACTTTTGAGCACATCCAAAATGGCCTCTCAGCAGCCTGGTCCCTGACACCCGTCGGGTGGCCTGCAGTCCTGACCTGAGGAGTAGCCCCTGAGTTGGGATGATGGGGTAGTCACGCAAAGGGGAGTCACGCAAAGTTGGGAGTGGCGGGTGGCAGCCACACCCAGGCGTCAGCCACAGCAGGCAGTAGGGGAGTTCCCTTTGTTTTTAGGAATTTTAGTTCAAACTAGTGTTTTTGAGCAAGATAATGAAAAAGAAAGCCCCTTTCTCCCCAGCTCTCATAAACAGCTAGAGGTTGGATTAGTTCCCTATCGCCTCTGTTTGCAGAACCCACAGAAACTCGGAAGTTTGAAACTATGCAAATTTATTAACTTACGTTCTGGAGGTCAGCAGTCTGAAATGGGTCTCCCTAAATCAAAACGGCAGCAGGGAAGCTGTGTTTCCCTTTGTGAAGCCTCTGTTTCCTTGCCTTTTCCAGCTTCTAGAGGCCTCCCTGTATTTGGTGGCTCTGGTCCACTTTCATCTTCAAAGCCAGCCATGGTCGGGCAAGTCTTTCTCACACCCAATTACTCCAACACTGATTCTCCTTCCTCCCTCACTTGTGATTACATTGGGCTCCCCTGGATAATCCAGATTAGTTTCTTTGTCTTGAAGTCAGTTGACTTGAAGCAATCAGCAGCCTTAATTCCATCTGCTGCCTTTAATTCTCTCTTGCCACCGAACCACCTAACAGGTTCTCAGGATTAGGGTGTGGATATCACTTGTTCCTGTTTAGTCTCTAAGTCTCATGTCTGATTCTTTTGTGACCCCCATGGACTGTAGGCTGCCAGGCTTCCCTGTCCATGAAATTTTCCAGGCAAGAATACTGGAGTGGGTTGTCATTTCCTCCTCCAAGTGATCTTCCTGACCCAGGGATTGAACCCGCATCTCCTGCATTGGCAGGAAGACTCTTTACCACTAAGCCACCAGGGAAGCCGTGTGGACATCTTGGGTAGAGGGGTGAGTGGGCATTATTCTGCCTATTGCAGTTACCCAGCACATGATTTAGCAAAAATTCTATTCATAAGAAGAGCATGTGATAAGAGCAGTGATGGGAAGTAACTCTCAAATATTAGGAGGCTTGTTGAAACAAAGCCTTTGTTATTTGGCAGAGCACAAAGGCAAGGATAAACTGAAGATAAAGGAACCAGTTCAGAGGGAGAGAAATCTCATGTGACTACTTTGTCCTAATGTGGGCTTTTTAACGTGTTTTATAGTCAGAGTCACAGGCGTCCCCAGTGGCTCAGCAGTAAAGAATATGCCTGCAACGCAGGTGATGTAGGAGACCTGGGTTCTATCCCTGGGTTGAGAAGATCCCCTGGAGGAGGGTATGGCACCCCACTCCAGTATTCTTGCCAGGAAAATCTCATGGACCGAGGAGCCTAGCCGGCTACGGTCCACAGGGTCACAAAGAGTCGGACAGAACTGAAGCGACTGAGCATGCATGCTTGCATAATCAGAGTCACAGTTTTCAGATTTAAGCATTAACAAATGACTCACACACTTCTGTTTCGTGTCCAGTTCCTTGGCCTCTCCTGTCCGAGTGCTCCCTGCATGAATAAGTAATTAAACCCCCTTGTTTCTAGGTTTGCTAAGCTTTGAAATTACTGTCCCACAAAAATATTTTCCCTCATTTTTCAGGGAAAGAGGAGAAAAGGTCAGTGCATCATTTTCTGGTCACCTCTGCCATCATAAAGCTGCAATGGCTGTCGTAGTTTCAGCCTGTTTCTTCTATCTGAAGGAACTAGACACTAGATTCTGATAAAGTAGTTTCTTCTTGGGGCGCTGGCTACAAACATTTGTTGACATGACTCTTACAGAATTTGAAATTACAAAGAGTGGAAGGTGTAGAAAGCTGTGGGTTATCACACTGAGTCTTAGTTCTGTTATTAAAGTACTTTCTCTGAATTATTAGTGTAGAAGGAGAATAAGACATGACAGTTTAATGTGTGGATGTGGAAGCAATGAAGGATGGGCACCCTTCTTCCCCATCTTTGGTGCCAGTAGATCTCTGGGACAAAAGAGAGAACTAGAACAGGCTCTATGCAGAGGGAAACAGGGACAAAACAGAAATTTGAATGGAAACCTGGCTTCCAGATTTTTGATTTTTATGGATTATCCAGAAATGTCTCAGAACACTGGAGCAAGTGCATTGTGCTTGTTCACTGGAGATCAATCATAAGCCCAAGAAAGAAGTTAGAGCAAAAATCAAAAGGGATTTTAACTGTAGAAGAAAGGCCAGGAAACCGAAGTTGGAATAGCCTCTTAGATCTATATTCTCATGTCAGAATTTGGCTTTTTCTCAATGAAACTTTTTAACACCTCAGATAAAATTTATTTCGGCAAGCACCAGCGGAGGTCTGCTTTTCTATGGCATCCATCATCAACCAAGGCATGAATGACAATCTCCGGCCACAAAGGAGCAGAAGATCTTATGAGGAGGATAAGACTCATAGAAGAGGTAATAGTATGAAACACCATTTGAAAGTTTTTATTCTGGAAACTTTTAAACATACACAATATAGAGAGAATGACATTATCAGCCTCCATGTACCCATCCCTTGCTCCAGTGATCATCAATATAAGGCCAGCCTGGCCTCATTCATCCCTCTCTCCACCCTGATACCTGCTGGATTATTTAAAAACCAATCCCCCCCCAAAAAAAAAAAAACCAATCCACATCGCTTATGTGTGGCATTTATATTATGTAATGTAGATAGAGCTAAAGGAGTTCAGGGAAGAGGGAGGATGTAGAAATCTTTATGAAAAAAGTATGATTTGATTTAGTTCTTGAGTGATGAGTTTCATTGGATAAG